GAATGATGTCTTTAATGTAATATATTGCTAACGTTAGATTTGGGCCTTTAAAAAAAACAGTAAATAAATAATAAATAAGTATAAATGCTACATATATTTTATTATTCACTTTAAAATCACTCAAATAATTATTAAACTTATTAGACCTTTCAAAAATTTGGGGTCATCAAGTATCGTTTTCTCTCAAATTAATTGCATTTATTTAATCATAAAACAAAAACTGTGAAATATAATTCAGATGTAAAATAACTTTGGTTATAATACACTGTAAAATGTCAATTATTTCCAAGAAGTAAAATCTGAATTTTGACCAGTGATGGCTCCAGTCTTTAGAAACCCATCTAATATGCAGATTTGCTGCTTTCGAGACCTTTTTATTATGTGCAAATTAATATTTGTAAAAACCATGACTGATCAAAAGAATTTATTTGAAATTTGTAACATTATAAATAGTTTAATGTCACTTTATTAACTGTTCAATGCATCACTGCAGAGTAAAAGTAACCTGCGACATGTCTGCCAATGTGATATTCTCTATAATGTCAAATCCAATTGCTGTAGCACCAAAAATAGGTCCTGTGGTCAGTTCTAGTCATTACTTTCCTCAAACCACAACCTTCTGCATAAGTTATAAATCAAATCTTCACTACATAAAAAAACATCTCTAAAATGGAAACTTTGGGTTAGAAGCTAACCAAATCCATACATACACTGTATAAACACGATAATGTGACCACAGCTACAGTATCTGGTATCATTATCCATCACACTTTGCTAAGAAAGTCACCTGAGATGTTCCAAGAAGATTTATTGTGCCTACAATCCCACAGGTAGAGTAAACTGTGCTTCTTGACAAACAGTCACTTAATCTTTCCTCTCGCTGGTTTTCACTGGATTCTGCTGACTGCATGTATCCGGCCAACTTCAACAAAGCTTTGGCTCAGTAGGCCTCATGTCGACGCCATTGGTCAGACATAGGGCCAGACCAAGTCCGGATGATGGTACAAAATGGGATACAATAGTGGCAGCACTGGTCTGAAGCATTTGACTGGGGCCAAGTGGTTTTGAAAGAGTCCAAGCTTAGCTGAAAGACCTGGTAATATGTCTTTAAATATGAAAAAAAGCTCATTTAAAGGTGATAGTTCACCCAAAACTGGAAATTATTCCATAATTTACTCACCCTTTACTTGTTTCAAATCTGTTTACTTGATTATCTGTTTTACAAAACTTGCTTTCCTTGTAACCAGTGACTTATACAGTATTCCTGCTATGAAAGCCGAATGTTTTTCAGTTTTCTTCTAAATACAGTAAATTATTTTATGTTAAACAGTCAGGAAAAAAAAAAAAAAAAAAAAAAAATATATATATATATATATGAAGGTTTGAGGCCTCTTGAAGGAGGTTAAATAGTGAATAGTAAACTCTTCTATTAATTACAGTTCATTCTGAAGCTAATTCAACCAGCACATCAGAGCTAAGCTAAATCAGCACTTTATATGTTTTTTGATTGATCCACTGCTATGGAACTGACAGTGATGAGCAGTGGCGTAGCGGACGGGCCCGCAGGGAACAACTGTGGTCGGAACCAAAGTTCACAGAACTGTGTTTTCTGAACTCCTCTCAAGCAGTGGGCTACTTCATTCTGATTGCTTGCCGCCGAACTGCGTTATAACCAATGAAGACGCGCCGCTGTTTCTCGCCGCCGGTTCTCGTTAAAAAATGAATGACTTCCGGCTACTTTGATGCTCTCGCCGCTTTCGGTTTGTGATCGCTACTCAGTTTGTGAAGGATTCCCCGCGTTGTCGCTTCACCACGCCTCATTTCCCCGCTCCTCAATTTGTGACATAGATATATACACTAGATATTGCATAGGGACCCTGAGCATGCCTCAATAGCGCCGCCACATTGGTACAGTGCTCCCAGGACAAATGTCATTCAACCGCACTAGACAAGGCAGTATTATTACGTGAAGATGCGGGACTTTAGCGCTGTCTACGAGTGTAGTAACGAGCAAACAAATAAAACAAAGCACAAAGGCAGAACATTTCATAGGTAAGATTAAGTTTTTTACGTTTTTGTATGTTCTGAAATTTGTGCTAACGTTAAACAGATAGTTAGCGTTGTTGATGATAATACAGTCTCTTACTGTATTCATCATAAGGCAAAGCAGCTCCAACTCGCACTAAATACTCGGCTTATGCTAGTTTTGTTGAATAAAATCAGCAAACAATGCAAAAGAAATATGACAACGAGATGCTGCGCTGCTAGAAACTTGTATTATTGTCGGCGAGTGAAAGAGTCGTTCATAACGGAGAGTTATTCACAAACGAATCGCTCCCTCCGTCAGTATGAGAAGTGAAAGCAGGAGAGGAGATGTGTGCACGGATTAGATCAAGTTAACAGGGAGGGTGAATAGTACATTTCTGTACACACAAACACAAGCTTTTTGTCAGGAATGCCCGTGCGATGACTGATCCATCAATGTAGAAAAGTGATGTAAAACTATAATTTTCATAATTTAAAAAAAAAGTTACATACTAACATCCAGGATAACTCCTGTGTATGTGTATATCTCTGGCTAAGGTTTCATAAAATTAAAAAATGTTCAATTGAGAAAAAAGATTTTTACCCACAAAATTGTTTTTTTAACCCCTAGCTGGGTTTTCACAGCTCTGGTTTGAAAAAACTCAGGAAAGTGGGTGAGTCCAGCTTTGTTTAGATGGCAGTGTCGAAAGAGGGAAGGGTTTGCATGAAAAGGGGAGTTTCATTACATGCACACCAGTTGATTTTCACACCGGCAACACAAACACAGACGCTGGGGTGATAGATGGTGGTTCAGAGAGCAGCATTTACAGCGGATCTGAGAGCTGTGTGAAAGTGGAGGATTTTCAGTCCATAATACTGCAATGATTTAACTGTAAACTTAGTAAATAAATAATTTTGTCTAAGGTATGTCCTTAAAAACTGAAAGAGTACTACTAACGATACTAACTAACTTTGCCATATGAATAAACATAAACAAAGAACATGGATCACACACTTTCCAAATCTGTAGAGACAGGACAATCAACACCAACAATCAACACCAATTCATTAAATTATTTATACTTTTTTAAAGACATTTAGTGAAATAAATACTTGAAACTGCTCCTTTTTTTTTTTAAAAGGATACAAGCGGCAAATCTGGATCTCACAATTTCCAGATGCAAAACATTCTCGGGTAAAAAAAATGTTAGCAGACCACTTCGTTAGCAGACCAAAAACTTTTTTGCGGCACATTTATAAGCGCAAAACTGATGACCCATATCTCTATACAATTCTTTTTCTTCGTCCACTTGTTTTAATTACGGTTGGCAACACAATGTCTCTGAACATTGTAACGGGTAAAAAGAGCCTTCAAAGCTATATCATGCATATTTATGAAGTTGCATCTTATTCTCAATAGAGCATGCTGATTGGTTTGAACCAAGTCTTTCTCATGAATTAATGAACAGATGTGCTGACAACTCAATGACGTCCCTTTGTACTGGCCGGTACAGCCATCCAGTCACCACGCTAGAATTTACACAATGATCTCATCACCGTGGCATAGCTTTACAATTTCTATTTAAACCGGAAGAACGAATTTGCTCTGAACAAATCTCTCCCTATTTAGTTAATTATATGTGTCCTAATAGTGTTTTTAGCAACATGGGACACATATATGACTGTCAACATCTCAAAAAAAATGTGTTTTGGTGTTTCGTGACCCTTTACAAAGACTAATAATCACAATACAGTAAAAACGTGATATCTTTGTCCAAGGTTATCATACCTTTAGAATCTTATACCAGCCCATGCCTATAGCAGTAACATTCACACACATCCGTCAAGCATGAGTTTACAATGAAAAACAATGAACGAACTGCCCCTTATGGTCACAAATGAGCAACTGACATTGCAATTGTAATCTATGCCATGCTTTACTCATTCATCTGTCAACACTTTTGAGAAGTATCAAGTTGGTCGTCTTGTGTTTCAGAGAATGCTAGTGAGTTTTGTCAAGTATCTTATGCAGCTCTCGAAACGACAGGCCACATAAACCACAAGTGCCATGACTGAGACTCTCCATTGCCTTCAGTTGAGCTCACAGCTGCTGGACTCATTTAGGGCTCTTAAACAAGCACTTGGACTATTTACAGAAGTCAAAAACAAACACAGTCAAAATACTGAGTTGTACCAGTGGCTGGTGTTTTTTCTAGCTAGTGACTCTACTGACATAATGAGATATTTTAAGCCTCAATACACTGCAAATCAAGCAGATCAAGCAAATCTGCAGTTAAGTAACCATGGCTAATAAACAAATGGATAATAAATAAAAGAAGCATAATATTATATAACATTAATAATATAAACAATATTATAGACAGGCAAATATTATTAAGAAATATACAAGAATGATGATTATGTACTGTATACATATCTAAAATGATTTGGAAATTCAGTAAATGCATAAAAGAGTCTTTTTTAATAACTTTAACCCATTGAAAATAAAAGATGTTTAACAGTGTCATAATAAATACAAATATAGTTAAAAATCACAATATTCTTTGGTTTGTCGCATGTAGTTTACTGTGTGCTGTGGGTAAAAAGTGTGTTTCAATCAGGCTACCACCACAAGTACATTTCAAACCTATTATTATTATTATTTTTTTTATTATTATTATTATAAATTATATTATAAGAATCCACTTCGAATAAGAAATAAAAAGTCTACCACGCAATGCCCTTTACTAAAACGAAAGATAACCACAATTATGATTGGATATATTGAAAAAGACAACATAATTTGCATTGCACACTTTATAAAATAGTTCATTACAAACACACACACACAGAAATTTAAAAACTTTACAATGCTCAGATTAACAATAATAACACTCTAGGCAACAATAAAGATTGTGTGGGTTCCAGATACAAACCACAAAAAGAGTCGCCAGTAATAAACCTAATTCACTCACTTATATTGCTGGTGGTCCTTGGTGCTCCTTGTCTTGGCCATGAAGCGTTCGGCGAGTTTCTCCAGGTTTCGTGAATACTCCATCTCGATCTCAGACTTCTTGCGGAAAAAATCCTGGAGGTCCTGAAGGAGCTGGACCCTCATGTCGGTCTGCTGCTCTAGACATTTCTGCTGCTCCACCAGTTGAGCTCGAATCTCTGAACAAAAACAACCAAACATGGTTTAATGTAAAGAGTCTCTGAACAAAAATCCCCAGCAGAGCAAAGACAAATCAGCAGAGCTTCACTGCACGCTTTGGAAACTCTTGCTGCAGTTCAAAGTAGCCAGACAGAAATTATTTTTTTTAAAGGCTAGCTATATATATCTTCTATAAATAAAGCCATTAGGTTTGCCCTGAGCTAGTTGTATTTTGCCGAATCAGCAATGCTACAGTAATCCAGGTTCATCAGGTGGAGCAGGTAATGCCCTTGTGCTGACTTTCATTACAGCCTGAATGAGAAACGATCCCAGAAACTAACCTAACGACTCTCTAAAGCCAATGTGTGTACAGCTCGTACAGCCATGTAGGCTCTCCACTCCATTTAACAAGCCTTTTTTTTTGGCTTAAATTACCTCCGGTTTCCTCATGTGATTGCCCCCTTGTCATTGGAAATGGAGCTCATTAAATTTGTGGTTCACTGTGGAGGCTCTGAAGCTCCATACTATAATATACGTTCAAACTTCCGCTCTTAGTCCTAAAGTGACTCAGCATCATATCAGAGCCACGGTGTCCACTTTGATAGGCTACAAAATAACTAGATGTTCTAAAAGTATTTAAGTACTAAATGTATTCAACCAAATTAATGTAATAACATCCCGGACGAGCCCCCAGTTAAACATACCAGCAGACTTTCTTTATTAAAGAAATAAAATGGCAAGAAAAAAAACCTCAAATATTAACATCAAGTATTGGAAACATTTAAATTTGAAGCTAGTAAAGGGGACAGTTAAAGCATTGTAAATTTTACCTAAAACAAATCTAGAAATACATAACGAACAAAACGAACTTTATCTGGAAAATATTAATTTCTAAGTTTAATAATGAATGACTATGATTTAATTCAAAAACAACAGAATATACATGTGTAAATATTGATGTAATACCTACTATGGCTGCACAATAAATAGTTTCAGCATCAATACTGCAATGTGCGCATCTGCATTAATCACATTACAACGTATGCAATGTTAAGCCTGAATTATAGTTAAGGAGCTACAGAACACATGGTTTGTAGAGTAACTGCTAAATTTAACTATAATAGATTGAAGGTTTATGTGTTTTTAAGGCCTGTAAATAAGCATTTCAAGGGAGTTTAGGTCATTTGGACAAAAAAATTATGATGTTTACATAGATTTATTGTATTTTATTTTTTATGCACAATTTGTCTTGTTTCTAGTCCAACTATCCACATTTCAAAAGCGAAAACAAGATTATTTTACTTACCCCCTGGGGTGATAATTTTGCTTGTTTTAAGGAAAAACTTAATTTTTATTCTGATTTATTCTGACTTATTTCTTCTAAAGATGAAAACAAAACAATATTTTACTTGATCTAAGCATTTAGATATTTGGACTAGAATCGAAACAAGGTATGATTCTTCAATTTCCTGAATACTGTTCGCCTCCCCAAATGGTCAAACAGAGCTGTTCAGGCCATTTTGTGATCACAATATTCGCAATATTTATAGCAAAATAATAAAATATTGGAAAAATATTGGAGAATATCAGATTTCTCCAGTATCGTGCACCCCTGATACCTACTATGTCTGACAGAAAAAAACACCCAAAAATGGATTAACCAACTCAGTTATTTAACCAAAAACTTAAAAGATAATTTAATTACATTATATACAATTTAAATGTATATCTAGTCCAATAAAAAGGAAACAAATTTAACTAGTTAATTTACTCATTCTCAAGCCATCCATTACACATATGACAGCCAAAACGGAAGCGCTCTGGGCATCCCGGGATTGAATTCCGGCTTGTAGACCTTTCCCGATCCAAAGATCCACAAATAAAGGCAAAAATGACAAAAATAAATCTTTAAAAAACAAATAAATAAATAATTTAATAAAAACCTTAAACAAGCTAAAGAAAATGAATACACATGGCTCCTGACCATACACTGAGATCAATTTGCAGTGTATTTACTTTTATTTAAATTTATTCAAATGTTTTTTTACACATTGCAAGCACACACACACACACTTATATACAAAGTCAACTTATTTGTCAGCTAGAAATACAAATTATGTTATTAAAAACATGTTATTAAACACTGCTAGACAGACTTTCTTTTCAAGCCTTATAAACAGCAACTTAAATAATGCTCGCACACTCTTTGCAACGATAGAGAGACTCACAAACCCCCCCAGTCAGATTCCAGGTGAGCTCCTCTCTGAAAGCAAATGTAATGAGTTTGCTCATTTCTTCACTGATAAGATCAATAATATCAGAAAGGCAATCAGCTCATCCAATCAGCCAAGTTGTGTCGATATCAAACAAGCTCAACCACAACTTAAGAAATCAGACATTATGTCTGATTTCATGGCAATTAACAGCAAAATCTTAGAAGAAATTGTGCAAGTTATGAAAACATCAACCTGCAGTCTTGACACGCTCCCCACATCATTCTTCAAAACGGTGTTTACCTGTTTAGAAATGGATCTTCTAAAGGTGGTAAATGCTTCACTTTTATCAGGGATTTTTCCAACCTCACTTAAAACTGCAGTTGTTAAACCCCTCTTGAAGAAGAGCAACCTGGATAACACCCTATTGAGCAATTACAGGCCAATCTCAAATCTCCCTTTCATTGGCAAAATCATTGAAAAAGTTGTTTTTAACCAGGTCAACAAGTTCTTAAACTTCAGGGGGTGTTTAGACAATTTTCAATCGGGGTTTAGAGCACATCACAGTACAGAGAGCGCTCTTATAAAGATAATCAATGATATACGCCTAAATACAGATTCAGGTAAAATAACAGTGCTGGTATTGTTGGATCTCAGTGCTGCATTTGACACTGTCGATCACAGCATACTTCTGGATAGGCTGGAAAACTGGGTTGGGCTATCTGGCACGGTCCTCAAATGGTTTAGATCCTACCTAGAAGGTAGAGGTTACCATGTCAGTATAGGTGACCATATGTCGAGGTGGACACCCATGACGTGTGGAGTCCCACAAGGCTCGATTCTGGCACCTCTCCTGTTCAACCTTTACATGCTCCCTCTAAGCCAAATAATGAGAAAGAATCAAATCTCCTACCACAGCTATGCTGATGACACTCAGATCTACCTAGCCTTACAGCCTAATGACTACAGCCCCATTGACACCCTCTGCCAATGCATCGATGAAGTGAGCAATTGGATGTGCCAAAACTTTCTTCAGTTAAACAAAGAGAAAACTGAAATTATTGTGTTTGGAAACAAAGATGAGGTTCTCAAGGTAAATGCGTACCTTCGCACTAAAGGTCAAATGACAAAAAATAAGATCAAGAATCTTGGTGTGACTCTGGAGTCAGATCTGAGTTTCAACAGTCATGTCAAAGCAGTCAGTAAATCAGCATACTATCATCTCAAAAACATTGCAAGAATCAGATGCTTTGTTTCTAGTGAAGATTTAGAAAAACTTGTTCATGCTTTTATCAGCAGCAGGGTGGATTACTGTAATGGACTCCTCACTGGTCTTCCTAAAAAGACAATCAGACAGTTGCAGCTCATCCAGAACGCTGCAGCCAGAATTCTAACCAGAACCAGAAAATCAGAGCACATCACACCTGTCCTCAGGTCTTTACACTGGCTGCCAGTTACATTCAGAATAGATTTTAAAGTATTATTACTGGTCTATAAATCACTAAATGGCCTAGGACCTAAATACATTACAGATATGCTCACTGAATACAAACCTAACAGATCACTCAGATCTTTAGGATCATATAAACTAGAACTTCAAAGAGTTCAGTCAAAGCAGGGTGAATCAGCTTTCAGCCACTATGCCCCTCACTGCTGGAATCAGCTTCCAGAAATGATCAGATGTGCTCCAACATTAGGCACATTCAAATCAAGACTGAAAACACATCTGTTTAGCTGTGCCTTTACTGAATGAGCACTGTGCTGCGTCCGACAGATCGCACTATTATGTTTTTCTCTTCTTCTTCATTCTTTATATCACATTTTACCTGTTTTTATGTTTTGTTTTGTTTTTATGCATTTTTATTATTTGTTTTTATTTTATTTTTACTTGTTTCTTTTATTCTTCTTTATGTAAAGCACTTTGAATTGCCATTGTGTATGAAATGTGCTATATAAATAAACTTGCCTTGCCTTGCCTTGCCTATTATGTAAAAAGAAAAAATAGTTTCAAAATCAGCTTTAAATAAGGTTTCGTTTCTTTAGAGACACGTTGCACCTCTTGAGAACTTGCTGTATAATTGTATGTGCACTTAAAAATTTTCTTCACTACTTGTTCAAACTACTTATTTAAATTAGCTGAATCAACACAATTCTTGAGGTTGTGTTTTGAGACAACTTAATTGTTTTATGTTCAATCCACTTAAATTTGTAAAAACAATTCAGTTAACTTAATCAATTTGTGTTGGGACAACATGAAGCAATTGTGTGGAACCCAGCATTTTGACAGTGTATGCTTTTAATAGCCTGTGAGAAATGCCAATGTACAGCAAATTACAGTACTATCTCTTTAAGCACCAGCAGGTTTATTCCCTGACATGTCATATTATGCTCCATTGCCCTGCTGATTAAGTATCCGTTACACAATCTACAATACACCATTGCCTCAAAGACATTCAAAGAGATTCCAAGAGCAATATAAAACTCTGCGCGCTCGGCTTTCCATCGTCACCCATATCGAGTGACCCAATGTGACTACAAAGAGCATTCCTGGCCCGGTGAACTGATGTGTATGGTAAACATCTGCATGGAGTCGCTGTGCTCACGCATGTGTGTGTCTGATCAAAGCCTCTGTGATCCACTTCAAACAGACAGATAGATAGATGTGAGCACCTGTGAGCCGCCTGATACTGCACAAACAAGACCTGAAGGAGGACCCCACAAGACTATCAGCCTTTCTGTGTCTCTACTGTTAGCGTTAAAAGTTTCACTATTCACACACGGGTTAGGGAAATAGAGAATGGTTTAGG